GAAAATATTATTCATTCCAGCACTTCTATTCAAATTACAATGGTCTCTGATTATTAATCATGGGGCTTTTCTGAATTTAATTTAAATGTCGTAGATACCACTTACAACATTCTGAAATTAGTTAATTATTCGTTTAGTAAAAGAATTTTCTCCACTATATCTGTAGATGATGGGTGGATGACTAACAACATAGTTTCCTAATAAGTAGATTAATGCACAGGTATAATCAATAAGTAGATATAGATTTCAATTTTTTAAGATCAACAGGAAATAATTTTATCAAAGAATTCGTTTTAAATTTTCATAATAGAATTAACTTGAATCTGAAAGTCTTAATATTCAACTAAGTTTCACCAATAATAGATTTCAAGATTGATAACTAAAAGGTAGTAGCTGCAACTTCAGATTCTTATGTATAATCTTCAATTCCATTATGTTAAAATTTTAGAGTCATGTAAGTAAGTATTACTGATTTTATGCATAATAGTAAAAATCTTAGAATAGAGGTTACAACATCAACAGATGGCTCTACTTCTTGGTTTGGAATCAGAGATTTTTCATTATTTACTAATATATTTGAAAATTTTTAATGTAAAGACTTTAACATTTAGCCATTTGATGGGTGTTTCTCTAATCAATACGATTGTAATTTGGGTTGTAGTAATTGCGTAAATGGGATCTGTATCAATTGTTTAGATGACTGGTATTTGGATACAAAAAATAACTGTATCCCCATATGTGGTGATCAGAAATTTATGTTAAATGAAGTTTGTGACGACGGTAATTCGATTCCATATGATGGTTGCCATGATTGCTAATTTTCTTGTCCCTTAAATTGTATCCTTTGTGTTTATGGAACTTGTAAGGAATGTGAAAAATCCTATTTTCTTGTAAAAAATAGATGTAAACATGGTTTTTAGTTTGATCAAAACCTTTTTGAACAATTAGAAACTGGTTTCTTCAGCGATTGGACTAATTATCTTGAAAAAAATGGCCTTTTATGTTATTAAAACCTTGTTGAAAAGTTAAGAACTGGGTTTTTCAACAATTGGACTAATTATCTTGAAACAAACGATTTTTAATGTGAAAACCTTATAAAGCAATTAGAAACTGGATTTAGCAACAACTGGACTAAAAGATTTGACAAAAATAATTTCTAAATTGAAAATCTTGTTGAACAATTAGAAACTGGTATTTTCAACAATTGGACTAATTATCTTGAAAAAAACGATTTTAAATGTTATCAAATCTTTGTAAAACAATTAGCGGCTGGTTTTTTTAACTATTGGACTAATTATCTTGAAAAAAATGATTTTTAATGTGAAAACCTTATAATACAAATAGAACCTTATTTTTACAACAATTGGACTAATTAACTTGAAAAAAAGACTTTCAATGTGATAACCTTGTAGAAAAATTAGAAACTGGTTTCTTCAGTGATTGGACTAATTATCTTGAAAAAAATGGCTTTTAATGTTAACCTAACTCTCAATAATAATCAATACTCTAATTTTCTTAATAGTATAATCTACTTTAAAATAATTATCATGGATTAAACATAATTTAAAGTTTTTCGGTTTGTTATTTTCCAGATTCTTTAATTATTTAAGATTATTAATCAAATAGTTAAACTGAATGTAGAGAAGGTTATAAATTTTCGCCCAACACAAGATAATGTGTTGAAATGTGTAATTGTAAAGATTTAGTTAGTTTATAAAATAATGATTGTTATAATTGTATATAAAACTGCTCATCAGAATGTTTAGTATGTATTTTAGATAAATGCTATGCTTGTCTTGAGGGATGGCAGTTGATTGAACATAAATGCTAGCAGATTTGTGGAGATAATTAAGTAGCATTAACCTCAAATGAATAATGTGATGATGGTAATCATATTATTGAGGATGGGTGCAATGAATGTTTATTTTAATGTAGACCTTATTGCTAATTTTGCAATAAGGAATTAAATTGTCTCATATGTGAATCAAATTTCAAGCTGGTACATCATTTATGCGCACCAATATGTGGAGATAAAATAGTTATAAGTGGATTAGAGGAATGTGATGATGGAAATGATATTAAATATGATGGCTGTTTTGAATGTTAATTTTAATGTAATTTTGGCTGTAAAATTTGTGAATCTGGCAAATGTTAAGATGTGTGTAAAGTTGAAGAAGAATTTATAAATGGTAAATGTATTCCAATAGTTCTAATTGAAAGTGAAGAAATTGATCCAAATCAATCTGAATGCAAGAATCATTGCTTAGTTTGCGATGGGGCTAATTGCCTCCGATGTAAACCAGATTATATTTTGGAAAATAACAAGTGTTTCTCATGTGGAAATGGGATTATAACTAAAGATGAAGAATGTGATGATGGAAACAGGATCAATTCTGATGGATGTTCAAATTAATGTAAAATTGAAGAGGATTGGAATTGCATCGACTCCTTTTCATTTTTAAGTTAATGTTTCCCTATTGCTAAAATTTCGATTGTATTTTTGAATTCAACTTATAACACACAATATGTTAAACTATCATATACTAAAAAAGTTAAACTGAATTAATAAGACATTCACTTTTTAGATTTTAATGCTAATTCAATTAACATAGATCCTACTTATTATATTGTTTATTATTTTAATATTAATATTACTCCTGTAATAGAAATAGTCTCAAATGACTCTT